ACAAGCACTTCAATGTTAATGCGAATGTTTTCGATCGTCGACAGTGCGTTTAGACTTGAGTTTGGGTTTAAAGTGTAGAACATTTTATAAGGTATGCAGGGAAATAGAGAGGGTTCACAGTCCTCGACACAAGATCCTCTGTCCGCAGCCGGGTTACGCTGTAGCACAGTTTGTTGTTGAATTGTCAACACAAGCAAGTATCTGAAGACCACACTACTCTTCATACTTGTGGAAGACTTCCTCCCGAGCTCGTTGAAATTCTCTCATGATCGTCTCCCTCCTCGTCTCCGACCTGACCGTAATCTTGCAAGGAAAGGGTTTTGCACAAACAAGGAACCCCTCACTATATCCCGTGACGGGATCTGTGTCTGGTTCAACTGGCCTGCCAGACTCGTCCTCGCCTCTCTCGAAGTTGAACGCCCAAAGTAACTTGGAAATCGCCTGGAAGAGGTTCCGCTCGGCAAGGTGGATGCCGGGGCACAGACGACGTCCGGCCCCGTAGGCATAGTGGTCGCGACTCTCGTAATCGGCTGAGGCTGCGTACTCGGATGCGAGTAAAGTGCGGCCTGCATAATGATCTGGGTCGAAGATGTCGTGGTTAGGAAATTTAGTTTCGTCATGGTGTAATCCCCACACGTTGATTATGATGATGGTGCCCTTGGGCAGGAATTTGCTGTCGACCCATTCGTCTGCGTCGTACCAAATGACGATGTTAGCTTCGTGCCCATTGATGTCATGAAAGCCGGGAGGAAATCGCGCATCGCACCTTCAGCAAGACAGTGAGGAAAGCTGAGCGGAGTAACTGGCCTCCATCTCATCGCTTCCTTAACTATCGCACTCACATATGGTAACTTAGAGTAGTCAGACCAAACCGGGCTTCTGTCCTCGTTAACGACGGCATCAATTTCCTGCTGCGCTTTCTTCTGGATGTGTGGCCATTTTGTTAGCGCCTGGATGCAGGAAGTGATGACGGCAGACGACGTGTCGGAGCCTCCTTCCATCGCGACACCCCCGAGGAAGTAGACCTCGTGCATACTCATGCCGAGCTTGTCCTGCTTATCTAGGATTTTGTCGATGAAGGAGTCTTTGCTGCCTGACACTTGGCGGCGTTTGACCACGCTGGTAATAACCTGGCTATATAACGCGTTCATCTCGTCCCGGACATGGGCTGCCCGACGGACCCAATTCCCGAGGAATTGTTCTGGAATCCACTTTAAAAATGGGTAGAAATCGACTGGCGGCGTGGCACCGGTCTCCATGACTTTGGACCAGCTTTCCATCAGGTCGTACAACTTTGTCATGTGAGGAGTATCATGAGATGGAGTCCGAATGCCAAAGACTAGCCGCGATCATCTTCAGAATTAGCAGTCTTGGTTCTTTCTCAGGCAACCTTCGTTGGAACGGCTATACTCACGTATGGACATAATGACGCTGTTGCTAAACCTCTTGGGGTGAAGCATGTGATTCTCAGGAGAAATGAGGAAATCTCGTAGCATCTGAACCGACTCGGCATTCTGGAGCTTGAGATGATTTTTCTCACACATGGATTCCATGAACTCTTGGTGAATCAGCTTTCTGAATGCTCTCCACCTAGCCCCATAGTCCATCACCAGGAGGTGGTCACCACTTGTGATAATGTTCTGTGACACAAACGATACCGGCCGGTTGCTGGAAATCGAGCTCTTCTTGTCCAACAGCTCCCTAATTATGCGGCGATCAGTGAGGACAACCGCGGTGCCGGTTCCAAGCTTGAGCGAAAACATGCCACCGTAAGTTTTGGCCAGCTCGGTAAACCTGAGGAGATTGGGGTGTCTTGGTCAGAGAATCCTATACTCTAATCATGCAGGGTGAAATGCACCGTACTTGAAGTGTGCCCCTTTTTGAGGGAGCTGATGAAGATTCCCAATCAGTGGCAAAGTAGGCGGGCCTTAAAAGCATCAGCGCATCAGGCCATGAAGTCAAGGGATGGTGGAAACATGAAAATTACCATCAGGATAGTGACGACCTCTCCTGCCGACAAAGAGGTAGATGTATACCAGGCCGACAGCCGCTGTAGACACGGCGAGAATGATGAAAAGGAAAGCCATAGATGCAAAGTGAACTTGTTTCTGGGACGTTGAACAAACTAGAGACTCGAGTAGCAAGTCAAGGAAAGACCAAAGTTGCTGTGTGCGGGTGTGGGTGTTGGTGATATCAATATCAATATCATAGCCCAGAGTTCAAGGTATTCTTGATCTATTTCTCCAGAAGTGTGGAGGGACATCTGGGGAGACAGAACCATGAATCTGTCGAATAGCCCGGGGGACGGTATCATAACCCGATTGAGACCTGGCCGTCTGAGGAATGCTATTTTCTTGTGGAGACGGGAGATTTCTATACGAATGAAGGAGTCTTGTCAATTACTCCAGAATTCGTCCCACAAAACAGGTTGGGGTAGCCTTTGTGGGACCACAAACCGCATATGGCAGTGGGCACGGTCATGTTACCGATCAGGCATAGTGAGCTATCAAAATCCGAAAAAGACGGTATCACATTCCATATGGAGAAATGGCCCGACGACACCGTGAAGCCGGGCGCACAATGCTGATATGATAAGTTCAGGACACGGCAATTCCGTAACAGCCAGGAGGAAATGCACTTAAAAGTGACTGGCATTGTTTTCGACTGAGATTTCGCTAGGACTTACTTTCGGACCCTTATAAAACATGGTTAGTAAAGTAACTCCAATTCGGGCGACGAAATCAATCTATAAATACTGACTGAACGCTCAAAAGGAAACTGCGCGAGTTAGCAAAGCGGCCCGAAGGCTTCCATCTGAAACCCCTGTGCTGGTTGTAGGTGGAGGTCCGGCTGGCCTGATTACCTCACTGCAGCTTGCGAAGCACGGTATACGGAATGTCCTTGTGGAACGCAATCATGAAACGACAAAGTGGCCAAAAATGGACATCACAAATTGTCGATCGATGGAACTGCTAGGCAGATTGGGCCTGGCTGGGAAAATTCGAGAGAAAGGTAAGTTGACCGAGATCCCCACGGCATGAGGAGGGTGCGCGTGTTTGGACGCAAAGGAGAATACATGGTTTGGTTTCTGAATGTGGTGGCTGATTTGGCCCTGCAGGTGTTCCTCCTGAGTATTCGCTGGATTGTCTGTTCAGCACCGGCCTTTCCGAGGGAGGAGAACTGATTGCGAAGTGGGTACGATAAGTTGAAGGTTACCGGCTTCTTTGAGGCACACAGCCTAACGAGACCGAGTAGGATCTACCGTCCCCCAACGTCTGTCAATCCAAGATACAGGAACGAAATGATGGATCCATGCCTCGTTATCCCTACCAAAGATGTTCCCAAGAAATCTTTGAAGCGTGGCTCAAAGAAGTCATCGAGGCGGAGCCTCTCATTGACAGCTACTGGGGAGTCAAATTTGAGTCGCTCAGAGAGCTTGAAGACGTTGTCGAGTCTGAATTGACGGACATGACGACTGGTGCCCTCCACGTGATCCGGAGCCAATATGTGGCAGGCTGTGATGGGGCTGGGAGTCGAGTCAGGAAAAGTATAGGCATTGAGCTCACCGGAGGACCAATGTAAGAGACATATACTCCTGCTTCTTCTCCCCCTCCTGACCAGTATCCGATAGGCCTATGGCAATGTTTCTCGTTCACTTCAAGTCCCGGGATCTCGAAAGCCTTCACAAACAGGGCCGATTTTGGCACATATTCTTCTCAAACGGCGGCATCATTATCAGCCAAGATGAAAAAGATACTTGGACAACCCATTTGCCGATCCCCTTGGGAACAGACGTAGGAAATATTGATCCTACCGAGGCGGTATATGAGGTTCTTGGTGGCTCTGCCATGAAGCACAAGATCAAGATTGACAAGATTCTGGTTCAGAGCTCTTGGAGACCAAATTTGTGTGTTGCTGACCAATATCGATCTGAGAAAGGAAAGGTATTCCTGGTGGGTGATTCTGGTAAGAACCCTTCGTCGGCCTAACTCGGGCTGCTCGGTTGCGATAAAGTGCTCACTCATGAGGTAGCGCACCAAAATATTCCTTTCGGTGGCTATGGGATGAACACCGGTCTTGGAGATGCGTTCGATATCGGCTGGAAACTTGCAACCTTCCTCCACGGCTATGGCGGTAGTTCGCTTTTGGATTCGTATGAAGCAGAGCGCCGCCCGGTCGCTTTGCGAAATGTCGACATGTCTGGTGTTCACACCCAGGTTCACCTAAAGTACATTGATTGGGTCAAGACACAAGGACACACACTGGCCATTTCCGACACACCCGAAGGCCAGGAGCTCCGTCGACGAATTCGGGCCCATGTGCTCACCAATGATGGCGAGAACCAAGATCTCGGCATTGAAATGGACTATCGGTACAATAGGTCTCCAATTGTGCTAACTGACAAAGCCGCTGACAGCGGGCTTGAGAAAGAGCCTGAGTGGAATGTAAGGAACTACACACCCTCAACATGGCCGGGAGCTCGAGCGCCGCACGTCTTCCTTGCCGACGGCAAGACAAGTATCTATGACTTGTTCGGATCAGAATATACCCTGATAGACTTCACAATGAATGGAGAGTTTGCGAAAGAATTTACCTCTGTTGCGTCACATGTCAACGTGCCGCTCGACGTCGTCCACCTTCCGAACGAGAGAAATGTTCGCGATATTTGGGAGCGGGATGTTGTACTAGTTCGCCCAGACGACCACGTTGCCTGGCGTGTTGGGCAAGGAGTGGTGTCTCCTGCAGAGCTCGCTGTTGCTGATATCCTTCTTACCTGCACAGGTAAAAAAGCATCGTCAAGCTGGCTAGCTGAAAACAGAGGATCGAAGCCGCACAACTCAATACCCATCAAGAGATTTACGGGAACAATTGGAGACATGAAGCAAGACCCCGGACGTATCGAGTTGCTAGCTGTATTCCAACAGTAGTATCATCTGAATGAATTTTGTCTCCTCTTCTGCAGGTGGTATAATGCATTATGGATGCCAAATGATCAATGTTTATAACATCCAGCCATCTTCCACATGCCCTGGCGCACTGACCACATGTAGAAATGAGTTGTTGAATTCAGGACTATCCCCAGAGACATATTGCCCAATGTCGTCGAAAATGTTGTCAAATAAATTGTGTTGTCCTTTGTCATCATCGGAGTGGGCCAAGGTGTTTGAGGATACGGCATGATCCCCATTTTGAGGCCTCGCTCGGACTTCAAAATTTCCGTCTTTCACTCGGCCAATACGCTTCCCGACATCAACAGACAGATGTTCGGTCGCAGATGAATTGCTCTGGTTGAAATCAAGCGAGGCGTTCGGAATGGTCAAGTCTGGCAGGCGAGGATCTGGATCATTTCCGGACGCCACAGAACACCTTCTCTTCCGGTAAGGCGGTATTAACATCGAAAATCGCCTCACCAGTTCTTTCTCTTTGGATTCAGCCACGTCTTGACTCGATTCAGTGTAAAATTTGATAATTTCAAGCAACCCTGCACATGTTAGCGTATACTCAAAATGTATAGGGTAGTCCCAACAAGGAACGCATACGAAGCATCACTTTCCCTAGATTCCAATATTTAGAGCAGTGCAACAGGAACAATTCTGAAACCTCCTGGCTCTGCTGTGTGAACCCATCATTCTGAACAAATAAGGCTCCTGGGCCTAGCAAGGTACAACACATAATAGGGTGATTCAAAGGGATACGTCCAGGCGACCATGCGTGGACAATACGGACCAATTCTGATGTCATTTTCTTTGTGAACTCATCGTTGCGATACTCGGTTGATAACGATCTGCACTGCTGGGCTTTTGCTTCCTTTGCCTTTTCCAAACAGACCCGGGCGCTAAAGTGCATCAGTATAATAAAAGTGGCCAGGATCTCTGAGATACTAACGTTTGGATCATGAGTTGTGTCGAAAGGATATAGTTGCTCTTCGCAAAGTCCTCGTCGTCGAAGGAGAATGTGCAAAGGTGGAAGTGAGTCGGCAACGCCAAGTTGAAACAGCCCAAGGCGTACTCCAATTCCGCCATTTCCTCGGGTGAGATGATTGTTGGTCGACGTTCGGCGTCGTGCGCGCATGCCATCAGGTAGTTGCTAATCAAAAACCATGCTCGTTCATCTTGATTTGGTGAACTCTTCAGAGCTTTCCAAACCGATCCTAGCCGGCTTCCAAGAGCAGCGGACTGAACAGGAGTTCCAGAAAACCAATATTTGGTGGAGACTGGAAGCTGGACCTGCACCCGACGTCTGTCGAGGCTATATGGTTGGCATGAAATGGTAGCCCCAAAGGTGTCCATCTCCCATATTACCCACCACAACCGGCGAAGCTCCTCCTTGCGAATCCATTCCTCCACGGCGGAGCCTGAATCATCTGGGGGTCTTCCTAGCTCTTGATCTCCGTCTTCGTCAACACGGTTAAGCCCGATATCATAAGCAAGACGGATTATGATACCCGTCATAAGTGAGCCGCGATGGCATGACCCTTCGCAGAAATGGTAGCAAGTAAGAAGCACACATCCTTTGATATATTCAAGCGTTGGTTCCTCGACGGCTCGAACGAGGTCGTTGTATATTGCAGTCGCGTGATCAGCAAAAACGGCGCCTCTCTCCAGTGGTGGCTTCCCTTGGAAGTGGGCCGATGCAGAGAATCTAGCAGCAAATGCGAATATACAGTTGAAAATGAGCACCTCTTCGGAGCTTAAACTGTGTCGAGGCACAAGCGATGTTGTGGAACCCAATTTTATCAAGTACTTTTGATAAAAACGCGGACGATGGAAAATAGGGATCCACTGATGGATTCTCTCGAAGAAAAGATCAATCCTGACAAGATCAGCCGCCGAAGAGTGACAAAAGATGGCATCCGCTTACAGGTGTTCGGCCACACCCGGGGGAAGGTGCCAGTCATTTGAATGGGAATATGTTGCCATATTTGATGGACCCTCCAAGACCATGGATGGGACACGAGGATTATCGGAAATCGGGGACAAGGGAAAGAAGACTGTTGATAGGTCTTGATGTGAGGGGCTCTCATATGCGATGGTTTGCTGTTCAAGCGGGTCAACTGTAGGACTCCTTGAGGTATTGGAAGCAACATGTCTGTCATCTGAGCTCTGCACATTGCGGGTGGAGGTGTCGCTGATAAATGTGGCGTTTTTGAAGTTGGCCGTCGCCCCCGAGTGTGAAGACACCTGTTCGAGAGCGCTATCCTGCACAAGAACACAATCGGTTTCTTTTCTGTTCCCCGTCACTTCGGACTGCGGGATGTCGGCGAAAGGTGCTTCTTCGGTGTTAGCATAGTGAATATGGAGAGCGGAAGGCTCACTACGGCACTCGCAACGAGCATTGCGACTCAAATTTGATCTTGCCAAAGCTTTGGAAATTTTATGCGGTCGAAGAGAGCTTTGTTGAAGCGGAAATGTGCATATACTACCAACGCGCTGACACAAGCCGCAAGTCGGGCGCTGCATATCGCCTGCCGAGATCAGAGCGGACCCTGGCAGTCAACCGATCGAGCATGGACACATACACTTGGTCTTTTTCCTGGCAGCAATCAGATTGAGCTTTCAGATAGAACCGACTGCTGAGAGAGCCCTCACCGGTTGCACTCTCGACATGCGCGATTGGCTTTCGGGGACTGAGATGCCCAGACAAGTGGGAACAATGAATATGTGGTAGCAGTGCCTTCATTGTTCCTTGTAGAGGGTGCCATTTCGCTCTGTTGATGAGAATGGCTGCAGATGTAATGGAGAATTCAGCGATGAGAGGGTTGGGCGAGCAACTCTCACGGGGCGGGGATGTGGGACTGACTTCGCGATTCATCTTATGTGTCTCGGCACCCACGATCGGGGTTTGTGGGCCTAGGCTACGGTACTGGGTAAACATGGAGTAGAACCACTGACTGGCACGTTAACTAATTCCCCATGGCGGCTCCAATGCAGCGGAACTTTCCCGACGGCTTAAAGAATTGGTCGAAAATTCGACAGTAGCGGGCAAAGGGCTTCTCAGCCTCGAGAATTTGCAGCTGTAATAGTATGATGAATCAACCAGATCTGGAATTGAGCCTCAAGGAGCTGTACTGTCTAGAGTGGCGGCCCGGGCACACAGACAGGAAAGACAACTTAGATAGGCGGAAACCCCACATCTCCCAGACTCTGGCATCCATCTAAACACCTGAAAAGGCCAGTTGCAGTTGTAGATGGGGTGATTTGATGGTCAACCATGGACCGACAGCACCACCAAGTGCTGAACCCAACACACCTCCCAGGTGCCAAATTGATCCGTCTCGAACGTAAAGCCGAGGGAAGCGAAGATGAATCAGAGTGAAACTGTGATGTCTCTTGCATTCAGTGGCAACGCTTGATACGACTGAGGAAAGGATCATGACAGTCGTTCAAGGGATTCCACATAGCCTTGTTGGGGTTGTAACTTCTGTAGCCATTTTTCTATTTGGTGTCGCAGTCGAAACATTACCAAACATGTCCAGGCCCATCGCGGTCACCAAGGCGGCCAGGCCGTTTAATGAACTGCAGTTCGTGGGTACCCTGTTGATGCTGGGAAATTTCGCCTCAAGTCTGCCCCTGCTCTTCACGTGACATTCTTGAGCAGATGTATGAAGTCGTAGTATACATGATTATTGCTTCGGGGTCCGCATAAGGCCTTTTTGCCTTTTAGGCTTCGAGATTTATATCTCGAGGTCCTTGTCCGCCTCACCATGACAGGGATTTGCGGCACAGATATCGCTCTGACAAGCGGCAATCTAGGCTAAACAAAAGATATTCTCTGACACGAAGGAGTTGGCCGTGTTGTTAAGATCGGACGGGCGGTGCTAGCTAGCCGAGTCTTTTTCCTCAGCTATGACCCTACCAAGACCATCTGTTGTTAGTAACTTTATATCATATACAGCTTATATAGTATTGTTAAGTTGAGAGAGAAGGCACTGGCGGATTGCTTGCAGTCAGGGTTCTTTCCGCTTGTACTCATGGCGGCTTAGCCGGCTGTTTAGTTGTAGTTCGACCAGAGTTCGGCTCCGAAAGTGCTGCCCTACAGGCTACAGCCTGATGGCTCACTGCTGGTGAGATCTATAGTAGCCTCTTCACTCTCTATTTGTGTCTTGCTTAAGAATACCAGATGATATATCGATGGGAAACGAGAGCAGTGAGAGATCGCGGGGGGGTGTAAAGGGACCGAGGCGGGGTTTGCCGACGAAGGCTGGTGTTGATTCTCATAGCGGCATCAAGCGGCGGTGTACAGGATTGCCTGACCATACCTGAAGCGTTAAGTGGCCTAAACCGAGAACGGACACGTTTAACCACCTAATAGTACCGAGTATTAACATAATATTATTACTTAACATTAGGTGGCACGAGTGACCAAATGGACGGCATCCTCTCGCTGCCCTATATCTTGCACACTCCCAGATCTCAGCCTTGTCCATCGTATGCCTTGCCAAACCAAACCACCTCCCCCCTTCCAACCTCTCTGTTCTAACCATGCTCCAGCACTGGCCAAGTCATCCGCTAACATCTCTATTAATAGTCCCCACTTGTATGAAGAATGTGTTTTATTGACCCGAATTTTAGTCAATATTTGCCTCAGTCGAATGATAAAGATGAAAGATCAAACAAATTCCTTGGACCTTGGGAGACCCCTACAACTCCCACACTTCGACAGACTGCGACAATGTTTGGCCCTCTACTGAGAATCAAAACGATCTAGTGGGGTCGGTGGGTGGGGCCTTGCTCGACGGTATGAGGCGGTGCTGTAGGGGGTGCCGCCATTTGTGATCAATCCATCGTACCTTGTGGTTGTTGTACGGTTGCTCTAGAACCCCCTCTCTCAATGAGAGGCCAGGACACCGCCGAGGGAAATGGGGGGAAAGGTATGCTAGACGCTGAGCGGAACTTGTTGTTTTTCCACGTAATCGTGAGCTGTTCAGACTTGTGGAAAACTTTCAGGCGGCATAGCGTGAATCAAATTCTTCAGTAGTTCTAGTTCTCTCTGCCCCAACACAATTGCCCTTAGTAGTAACTCCCCTTTCTTCTCCCAACCTATTGTCATGAAGCCTCGTTATGCTCATGCATATAGCCATGCCTGTCCATTCGGGGAGCGCACCGTTAGAGATATGAGAAGGGGTACAATGGCCGTCAGGCCGACGGGGACCATACAACTCGTTAATATTGACGCCTTGGAAATGCTGCCCACACGGCCAACTCGGCCAATACTTTCGCTCATGAAGCGGGTAAACCAAATGAATAGATCATTGATCCTTGAAGAAAATTATGCACAAGAATAAGTTCACTGTCGTGAGACCCACAAAAGCGGCCAGTCACAAGACAATACAGGAGGACGATTGGTGCCTGTACAGGTTGGGAGAAGTTAGTTTTCATGCTCTTTTTCTGGTATGGATAAGCGCGTTAGTGAGAGTGCCTGAATATCCCTTGTGGCCGGTGTCTAAGACTGGAACCCTTCAGACTCTCCTCTCTGCTTGAGACACCACTCATTCACAGTTGATCTGCCTCTGGAGTTCAACTCTCGCGAGCATCAGCTGTTCGAGCTTCAGCCTGGGAATTTTCACTCTCGTGCGCCTCGGCCTCGGCGACCTCAGTCTCGCCGGCTTCCATTAAACGAGGCTCAACAGGTGCAGTCTGATTAGTTGCAGCAGTTTCACGAATCTCCTGCTCACGGAGATCTTGTTGTTCTAGGGCTTTCGCAGCCAGCTCTGCTTCGTCCTCACTTCAGGCATACCATGTCAGGCACAATGGGCCCAGCAAAAAGGGGAGAAGAAATATCGACTTACCAGCGTGCTTGCTCAAGTCGGTAGATCCACGCGGTCGTAATCTTCAATCGTTCTCTCACGCTCGTGGCCGGTAGAAGCGCATACTTCTCCGTCTCTGCGATCGGCAAGACACTCGCGAGCCAGTAAGGGAAGGTCGCCGGGTCCTCTGGTGGTTGTCCGTAGGCGGCAAGCACCCGTTGATGTAACCATTGTGCTGAGCGTGCTTGAGCTTGTCGAACAAAGCCCAGTCCGTATTCCAGAAGCTGCTGCGTGGATGAGCGCTGGAGTCGAACAAGATCATCATCCTCAGGCTGTACTGGTATGGTCGTCTCCCTCGCCTCTATTGCCTCCTCTTCCTGCAAACTGATGTCATCAAAGCGTTGTATTCGACCAGTGAGATAGCCATCAAGCATTCCTGTCTCAACGACTCGAAATTTGTACAAACCCCTCGTTTCCAAAAGGCTCCGACCATCAGCCAACATTTCTATTCGTTCAATGAACAAGACTGTTCCATATTCCTGCCAATGAGGGCCGCCTTGTTGGTATTCGCTGTGAGGCTTGTACGCCAACATGCCGAACTTGCGTGTGCCGTTCTCCAGAACTCTCCTAACCATTAATCGATACCGCGGTTCGAAAATATGCAGGAATGTCGGCATCTGGGGGTATACCAAGGTACAAGGAAAGAGGGGTAAATGCGTCTCTTCATCAACCATGTCTTCTTGTTCGGCAAGGGCTCTCCTCGCCACTAGAAGATCGGGCAACAAATCTTGGATCAGACGCGTCACTCGCTTGTTGCTGGGTGTTGCCTGCTGGGTATGAACCAGTGGCAGTAAGCGACGACACATTGGGCAATGATTGGTATGATCCATGGCCCGGCAAAAGCACCTTCTACAGAACGTATGTCCACACGAGGTCGTAAGAGGATCCAGCATGATCTGGTAACAGACCTGACACTCTAGTTCGACTCGGACGGCTTCCCTCAAATTCTCCAGAAGTGCCACGTCGGCAGCTCTGATGGTGTCGGCGGTGCCAGCATCGACGGGCGTGTAAGTAACGTCGGAGGAATAACTCAGCTCGCCCATGTCTGCCAAAAAATACGTCGCAGCGATGCGACCCCCGGGAAGAACGCGTGGCTGAGGTGTCACTTCAGAGGAAGTGTCAACGAGTTCAAGCCCGTTCAAATTTTCCTCCAGCAAAAGCGAAATGCCGGAGGTTTCCTTCTTGTAGTTCGATATGAAGGTCTTCACGATTTGCCCGATCTTGTTGAGGGTCACATCGGTCCCGCAATCACCAACTGAATGCTCCGAGCTACAACCCTCAAACGGACAAACAAAGCCCTCAGACCGGCCCTCGACAATGGGGTAAGAGATGTTCTCCCGTTTGTACAGCGGTGGTAGACATGGCCGACAAAGGGTATTGCCGCATGGTAAGGTCATAGGCTCGCGGAGCGGCAATGAGCACTGTGAGCACTGGAATAATCTGACAACATCCCGGGCATGGCGGTGAGCGTCGAACCCGGACTGGGGTGTCGTCGCAGGCTGTGATCCATCACTCATCTGCGCAATGAGTGACTAGGTTTTGAGATTTGTCCTGGGTATCCCTGCTCTTTCATGTGTTTAAAAACCAGTCAATGCAGACTATATGTATGATCCATATGAAGCGCGTGGTCGCACCTGCGCTTCTTGCCTCCAAAACATCCACAATTTGTCTGCTAGATTGCCGCCTGTGGTCGAGGTAGGCAAGGATGAGTGATCTGAGTCCCCTTGGTGAGATGAATCAAGGTAATCGAGAGGAGCCAAGGGTTGTTAACGTGGATGGAGACTCGAAGTCCGTGTACGTGTGCGATAGCGACTTTATATGGTGAATCGGACGAAGATGTGCAAGGCCTCCCGGTGAGGACGTCTCTGCATAGATGGGTAGTTTTGACAAAGCGA